TCATGGCCCTCTGAGGAGGCTGATAATACCTTTTATTTGAAGAGCATTGAATAAGCTTCCCAAACACTCTTAATACCGCTAAGCTCACTCCACCCATGACAACCAGCTGCCTTTGTTACCAAGCAGGAAATGACATCACGGGCCCCACAGTCAAGGAGCAACAGAGCCAGGTCCTGTGGCTACTGTCTGCAGGTCTCTTTTGCGCAACATCCTAGCTATCCCCAAGCCATCCCGAAGAGTAATTTCAAACCTGGTCAGGCCTGTTTCTGTCAGGTTGAAGACACAGAGCGACGAGGCAAAAGAACAAATTTGGACAGCAGCGAGTGCTGTTGTTCTGGGTATTGGCACCACATCCAGGAGTCAGTAGTGGCTCAGGCACTACTTTGTAGTTAGTGCTAGTTACTTAACTCTTCCAGGCCTCAGTTTTCTCATCTGCAAATGGAAGTGAACTGTCAGAGAGCTTTTGTCATCCCAAGAGAAGTGGCTGACCCTGGGCCTGGACTGACTGCATGGAGGAAGTGGCCCTCTGTGAGGACAGAATGCAAGAAGTCTGAAGATCATGAAGCCATGATCGAGTTCGGGGACACGGGGGGTGTATGATGATGACGATGCCACTGCAAAGCCATCAATGAGGACAAAAACAAGACCTAACCTGAGCTCCCCAGCCCACTGGCACCAGAAACCGCCCTCTGTCCCTGCCTTTCCAGGCACACATGGCTCATTTGGAGAGGAGTCAGTGAGCATCAGGAACAAGGGTCTGGGCACTGTGCTTTGGAGGGGAGCTGGAACTCTGCTCAACACAGAACTTTTAGAAAACTAGTGGTCTCAGAAACACATCGGGAAACATGGGTCAGAGAGATGTTAGCCAGCCTGGGCTACAGAGTAAGACCAAGTCTCTATGGGTACCCTTTCCCTCCAAACAAGGGCCATTACAGGGGGTGCGGCTCAGTTGGCAGAGAGCTTGCCTAGCATGTACAAAGCCTTGGGTTCGAATCCTAGCACCGCGTATAAGATCTGGGTGCTGAGCCTTGAGAGATGGCTCAGTGGCTGAGAGTACTTGCTGCTCTTGCTGAGGACCCGGGTTTAGTACCCAGTACCCACAACTCTCTGTAACTCAAGTTACAGCGCATCTAATGCCCTCTTTTGGACTCTGGGCACTGCACACAAATGGTGCACACAAATAGATACAGGAGACCTGGTGGGTGGTTGCACATACATTTAATCCCAGCTCTTGGAGGGCAGAGGAAGGTGGATCTTTGAGTTCGAGGCCAGCCTGGATTACAGGGTGAGTTCTAGGACAACCAGGGCTACACAAAGAAACCCTGTCTTCAAAATAAAACAACAACAACAACAACAACAAAAAGGGGGTGGGGTGGGGGGGATGGTGGTGGATGGAGGCAGGAAGATCAGAAGTCATTTTTGGCTGCATGTCACGTTCAAGGCCAGCTTGGGCTACGTGAGACCCTGTCTCAAAGATAATAAGAACAACTAACATGCTGCTGGGAATACAAGCCTTCTGCACTATGAGTAGGCAGAGAGCTGACTGCTTAGGCTCCTCCAAGGCCAAGAGGGACTCTCCTGGATCACATTTCTTCACCAAAGCAGGTCCAAGGACAGGGAAGTCGCTGAGCCGCTGTTTGCAGGCCTGGTTAGGGAATGGCCCAGTGAGCAAGACAACTGTTTTGAAATGCAATAGGGCGAAGGGACTGTTGGGAATAAAATCTCCACTGCTCCACCGCTCTGAGATGGCTGCTTCAGTGCGAGCGAGAAAAGTGACCTTGACAAGCCCAAGGCCTGGGAGCCTGGGGCCTGCATGGAAGAACTGCCCCCACTCCTTTTTCTCCTGAGTCTGAGGCCCCTGCCTGCCCCTCAAGAGCAGGAAGCAGTAAACGGCTGAGTGACTGCGGCAAAGGTGGTGGGGTTGGGGTGAGGCAGGGAGCTTAGCGCATGTGGCATTTGCCTCTGGGATCCCTAATAAAACCGGGATGCAAAGAGCCTCCAGGTGTTCTCCCAGCTCTGCAGTGACTCCGCCCAGCCAGGTAGGCCTGGAATATAGGAAGAAAGGTCACTGGGGATGGATGTCCCTGAATTGTCATTAGGGTCCAAATCAGTGTTTCTCAACCTTGCTAGTGCTACAGACTCTTTAACATACAGTTCTTCACGTTGTGGTGACTCGCAACCATAAAATTATTTTCGTTGCTACTTCATAACTGTCATTTTGCTGCTGTTATGAACTGGGTTTTTTGTTTGTTTGTTTTGTTTTTTGAGACAGAGTTTCTCTGTGTAGCCTTGGCTGTGCTTTGGAGATCAGGCTGCCCTTGAACTCACAGACATCGGCCTGCCTCTGCCACCCTGAGTGCTGGGATTACAGGTGTGAGCCACTGCACCCAGCTACTGCTTTGAATTGTAATGTCAAATCTGTGTTTTCCAATGGTCTTAGGTGACCCCTGTGAAAGGGTCCTCAGATGCCTCCAAAGGAGTTGTGACCCTCAGGTTAAAAACTACTGTCTAAATTGTCCTTAGCTCCTGGTATATATCCATGTGTGTGCCATGGTGTGCATGTGGAGGTCAGAGGATCATTTTGTGGAGTCAGTTCTCTCCTGCTTTTATGTTGGTTCTGGGCAACAAATTCAGGTGGCAAGGCTTTCATTGCAAACACCCTTACCCACTGATCCATGTCCCAGGCCTGATAACAGCTTTTGATAACAAGAAAAAATGTTTATAAGTGTTTGCACTGGCTCCTGACGCCAGACTCCTGCTCCCTGCCCTGGTCATAAGCATATGATACGATATCAGATGTCAGAAGGAACAACAACAACAAAAAAGATGGGTGCGTTTTTCTGTTTCCACAGTATCAGAATTTATTGAATAAAAATAATTTCAGAAACTATGTCAGTCTCATTGGCTTCAATTTGCCTGGATAGCTGGTCACTGGCAAACAGTAGTTCTTTTATTCCAGTCTTAATTATTGATATATTAATTCTCAGATCATAGATTACAGATACCCAGTAACGATATTCATACATATAAAATGTGTGTGTGTGTGCGCGCCTGTGTGCATAACAGAATGGCTACAGAAAGGCCAATGATTCTAAAGAGTTCAAAGCTGCTGTAAGAAACGCAGAGAGCTGACAGAGATAGAGGCCTGTGTCGATGGGAGATAAGATAACTGGAGAAACTCAGAGCCTAGCTTCTTGGTCATGGGTTGATCCAGCCCTGGAGGTTGAGCTGAGCCACAGAGACAAAGTGCAGAACTTCGATTAGGTAGATGGATGGACAGGCAGATGGACAGCCACTTGATTAGGTCGCATCTGCAGCAGGGACTGAGCTGAACGAAAGCCCAGGGACAGTTGTGTCTCTGCCTGTTGATTCCTTCATGCGCACCCTGTGTTCAGATTTCAGATGGGAGCCATTAGCGAGAATGCTGCAGCCTTCCTGGAGTGTTTGGTAAGTTCTTGGCCTGGTTATTCTGAATTTTTAAATTTTATTTTTATTGTTTTTATTTATGTGTATGTACATCTGTGTCTGTATGAGTGAATGCCCATAGAGGCCATAAGAGGACACGCCACCTGGAGTTACGAAAGGTTTTGAGCCACCATGTGGGGGCTGAGAGCTGAATCAGGGTCCTCTGTAAGAGCAGCCAGTGCTCTTAACTTCTGACATCTCTCCAGCCCTCCCATTTAACAAATATTTATTTCTAGTGTGTGTGTGTGTGTGTGTGTGTGTGTGTGTGTGTGTGTGTGTGTGT